TTTTTGGGTTTTTTCAGCTGGGATTTTGGGATTTTTGGCTGGGATTTTTGGGATTTTGGGTATTTTTGGAACTCTGCCCATCCCACCCCCAGCTCAGCCAACAAGTGCCTGCTGAAGGTGGCTGGGTTTGGGATTTGGGACTTGGGTGGGATTTGGGTTTTTTGGGGTGGGATTTTTGGGTTTTTGGCTGGGATTTTTGGGGTTTTTCGGGTGGGAATTTTGGGATTTTGGGTTTTTTTGGGAATTCTGCCCCCTGCCCATCCCACCCCCAGCTCAGCCAACAAGTGCCTGCTGAAGGTGGCGGCGTACGCGGCGCAGCTCGAGCAGTTCCCGCGCGCCATCGACATCTACGAGCAGGTCGGGCCTTCCTCCCCTCCCCTCCTCCTCCTCCTCTTCCTCATTTCCTGACCCTTTCCCTCATTTTTCTGCTTTTTTCCTCATTTTTCTGCTTTTTTCCTCTTTTTTTTGCTCTTTTTCCCTCATTTTTCTGCCTTTTTCCCCTCATTTTTCTGCTTTTCCTTCATTTTTCTGCCTTTTTTCCTCATTTTTCTGCTTTTTTCCTCTTTTTTTTGCTCTTTTTCCCTCATTTTTCTGCCTTTTTCCCCTCATTTTTCTGCTTTTCCTTCATTTTTCTGCCTTTTTTCCTCATTTTTCTGCTTTTTTTCCTAATTTTTCTGCCTTTTTTCTTTAATTTTTCTGCCTTTTTTCCATCATTTTTCTGCTTTTTTTTCCTTCCTTTTTCTGCTTTCTTCCTCTTTTTTTTCCTTTTTTCCCCTTATTTTTCTTTTTTCCTCATTTTCCTGCTTTTTTTCTTTCATTTTTCTGCTCTTCTTCATTTTTCTGCCTTTTTCCCCTCATTTTTCTGCTTTTTTGCCTCGTTTTTCTGCTCTTTTCCTCATTTTTCTGCCTTTTTTCCCTAATTTTTCTGCTTTTTTTCCTTCATTTTTCTGCCTTTTTTCCTCATTTTTCTGCTTTTTTGCGCTCATTTTTTCTGCCTTTTTTCTTTAATTTTTCTTTTTTTCCTAATTTTCCTGCTTTTTTCTTTCATTTTTCTGCTCTTCTCCTTCATTTTTCTGCTTTTTTCCCTAATTTTTCTGCCTTTTTCCTCTTTTTTTTTTTGCTTTTTTCCCTCAATTTTTCTGCTTTTCCCCTCATTTTTCTTCCTTTTTTGTTTAATTTTTCTGCTTTTTTCCCTCATTTCCCTGCTTTTTTTCTTTCGTTTTTCTGCTCTTCTTAATTTTTCTGCTTTTTTTCCTTAATTTTTCTGCTTCTTTTCCTAATTTTTCTGCCTTTTTTCTTTAATTTTTCTTTTTTTCCTCATTTTCCTGCTTTTTTTCTTTCATTTTTCTGCTCTTCTTCATTTTTCTGCCTTTTTTCCCCTCATTTTTCTGCTTTTTTCCTAATTTTCCTGCTTTTTCTTTCATTTTTCTGCTTTTTTCCTTAATTTTTCCACTTTTCCCTCATTTCCCTAATTTTCCTTTTTTCCTCATTTTTCTGCTTTTTTTTCTTTCATTTTCCTGATTTTTCCCCTCATTTTTTTTGGCTTTTATTTTTGGTCATTTTCCTTTTTGTTTGGGGTTTTTTTTTTTGACATTTTCCTGCTTTTTTGGGGTTTTTTTTTGTCCCTGAGGGTTCAGGGATCCGATTCCCAAATCTGCAGCGTCCGATCCCTGAAACTTCCCAAAAAATTTGGGCTCTGACCCCAAAATTTGGGGCTGTGATCCCGAAGATTTTGGGGCTCTGACCCCACAAAATTTGGGGTTTGATCTCCAAGATTTTGGGGTTTGATCCCAAAAAATTTGGGGTCAGATCCCACAAATTTTGGGGTTTGATCCCAAAAGATTTGGGGCCCTGATCCCAAAATTTTGGGGTTTGATCTCCAAGATTTTGGGGTTTGATCCCAAAAAATTTGGGGTCAGATCCCACAAATTTTGGGGTTTGATCCCAAAAGATTTGGGGCCCTGATCCCAAAATTTTGGGGTTTGATCTCCAAGATTTTGGGGTTTGATCCCAAAAAATTTGGGGTCAGATCCCACAAATTTTGGGGTTTGATCCCAAAAGATTTGGGGCCCTGATCCCAAAATTTTGGGGTTTGATCTCCAAGATTTTGGGGTTTGATCCCAAAAAATTTGGGGTCAGATCCCACAAATTTTGGGGTTTGATCCCAAAAGATTTGGGGCCCTGATCCCAAAATTTTGGGGTTTGATCTCCAAGATTTTGGGGTTTGATCCCAAAAAATTTGGGGTCAGATCCCACAAATTTTGGGGTTTGATCCCAAAAGATTTGGGGCCCTGATCCCAAAATTTTGGGGTTTGATCTCCAAGATTTTGGGGTTTGATCCCAAAAAATTTGGGGTCAGATCCCACAAATTTTGGGGTTTGATCCCAAAAGATTTGGGGCCCTGATCCCAAAATTTTGGGGTTTGATCTCCAAGATTTTGGGGTTTGATCCCAAAAAATTTGGGGTCAGATCCCACAAATTTTGGGGTTTGATCCCAAAAGATTTGGGGCCCTGATCCCAAAATTTTGGGGTTTGATCTCCAAGATTTTGGGGTTTGATCCCAAAAAATTTGGGGTCAGATCCCACAAATTTTGGGGTTTGATCCCAAAAGATTTGGGGCCCTGATCCCAAAATTTTGGGGTTTGATCTCCAAGATTTTGGGGTTTGATCCCAAAAAATTTGGGGTCAGATCCCACAAATTTTGGGGTTTGATCCCAAAAGATTTGGGGCCCTGATCCCAAAATTTTGGGGTTTGATCTCCAAGATTTTGGGGTTTGATCCCAAAAAATTTGGGGTCAGATCCCACAAATTTTGGGGTTTGATCCCAAAAGATTTGGGGCCCTGATCCCAAAATTTTGGGGTTTGATCTCCAAGATTTTGGGGTTTGATCCCAAAAAATTTGGGGTCAGATCCCACAAATTTTGGGGTTTGATCCCAAAAGATTTGGGGCCCTGATCCCAAAATTTTGGGGTTTGATCTCCAAGATTTTGGGGTTTGATCCCAAAAAATTTGGGGTCAGATCCCACAAATTTTGGGGTTTGATCCCAAAAGATTTGGGGCCCTGATCCCAAAATTTTGGGGTTTGATCTCCAAGATTTTGGGGTTTGATCCCAAAAAATTTGGGGTCAGATCCCACAAATTTTGGGGTTTGATCCCAAAAGATTTGGGGCCCTGATCCCAAAATTTTGGGGTTTGATCTCCAAGATTTTGGGGTTTGATCCCAAAAAATTTGGGGTCAGATCCCACAAATTTTGGGGTTTGATCCCAAAAGATTTGGGGCCCTGATCCCAAAATTTTGGGGTTTGATCTCCAAGATTTTGGGGTTTGATCCCAAAAAATTTGGGGTCAGATCCCACAAATTTTGGGGTTTGATCCCAAAAGATTTGGGGCCCTGATCCCAAAATTTTGGGGTTTGATCTCCAAGATTTTGGGGTTTGATCCCAAAAAATTTGGGGTCAGATCCCACAAATTTTGGGGTTTGATCCCAAAAGATTTGGGGCCCTGATCCCAAAATTTTGGGGTTTGATCTCCAAGATTTTGGGGTTTGATCCCAAAAAATTTGGGGTCAGATCCCACAAATTTTGGGGTTTGATCCCAAAAGATTTGGGGCCCTGATCCCAAAATTTTGGGGTTTGATCTCCAAGATTTTGGGGTTTGATCCCAAAAAATTTGGGGTCAGATCCCACAAATTTTGGGGTTTGATCCCAAAAGATTTGGGGCCCTGATCCCAAAATTTTGGGGTTTGATCTCCAAGATTTTGGGGTTTGATCCCAAAAAATTTGGGGTCAGATCCCACAAATTTTGGGGTTTGATCCCAAAAGATTTGGGGCCCTGATCCCAAAATTTTGGGGTTTGATCTCCAAGATTTTGGGGTTTGATCCCAAAAAATTTGGGGTCAGATCCCACAAATTTTGGGGTTTGATCCCAAAAGATTTGGGGCCCTGATCCCAAAATTTTGGGGTTTGATCTCCAAGATTTTGGGGTTTGATCCCAAAAAATTTGGGGTCAGATCCCACAAATTTTGGGGTTTGATCCCAAAAGATTTGGGGCCCTGATCCCAAAATTTTGGGGTTTGATCTCCAAGATTTTGGGGTTTGATCCCAAAAAATTTGGGGTCAGATCCCACAAATTTTGGGGTTTGATCCCAAAAGATTTGGGGCCCTGATCCCAAAATTTTGGGGTTTGATCTCCAAGATTTTGGGGTTTGATCCCAAAAAATTTGGGGTCAGATCCCACAAATTTTGGGGTTTGATGGGGTTAATTAGGGGTGTATTTGGGGTTAATTGGGGTTAATTGGGGTCAGGAATGGAGCATTTCTTCAGGGCCGCCCTCTGCCACTTCTGCATAGACATGCTCAACGCAAAGGTGATTAATTAATTAGTGTTAATTAGGGGTCAATTAGCGGTGTATTTGGGGTTAATTGGGGTCAGGACTGGAGCATTTCTTCAGGGCCGCCCTCTGCCACTTCTGCATCGACATGCTCAATGCAAAGGTAATTAATTAATTAGTGTTAATTAGTGTTAATTAGGGGTCAATTAGGGGTGTATTTGGGGTTAATTGGGGTGTTTGGGGTCAGGACTGGAGCATTTCTTCAGGGCATGGATGGGCTCGACGCGAAGGTGATTAATCAGTGATTATTAGGGATTAATTAGGGGTTAATTAGGAGGTTAATGAGCGTTTAGTAAGGGCTTAATTTGTGGTTCATTAGGGTTTAATGAGGGGTTAATTAGTGTTAATGAGTGGATAATTAGTGTTAATGGTGAGTTAATTAGTGTTGATGAGGGGTTGATTAGCATTAATGAGCGTTAATTAGCGTTAATTGCCCCAGCTGGCGCTGCAGCGTTACGAGGAAATGTTCCCGGCCTTCTCCGACTGCCGCGAGTGCAAACTGCTCAAGGTCAGCCTTCCTCCCCTCGTCCTCATCATCCTCATCATCCTCATCATCATCCTCATCATCCTCATCCTCATCCTCATCTTCATCATCCTCATCCTCGCCCTTATCAGCCTTCCTCCCTCCTCATCCTCATCCTCAGCTTCATCATCATCATCCTCATCTTCATATTCATCATCAGCCTTCCTCCCCCCTCATCCTCATCCTCATCATCCTCAGCTTCATCATCAGCTTCATCATAATCCTCAGCTTCATCATCCTCATCCTTGTCCTTATCAGCCTTCCTCCCTCCTCATCCTCATCATCCTCATCTTCATCCTCATCCTCATCAGCCTTCCTCCCTCCTCTCATCCCTCATCCTCATCTTCATCATCCTCATCCTCGTCATCCCCATCAGCCTTCCTCCCTCCTCATCATCATCCTCATCTTCATCCTCATCCTCATCAGCCTTCCTCCCCTCCTCATCCTCATCTTCATCATCAGCCTTCCTCCCTCCCCATCTTCATCCTCATCTTCATCATCATCCTAAGCTTCATTCTCATCATCCCCATCAGCCTTCCTCCCCCCTCATCATCCTCATCCTCATCATCCTCATCTTCATCATCAGCCTTCCTCCCCTCCTCATCATCCTCAGCTTCATCTTCACCCTCATCTTCATTCTCACCATCTTTCCTCCCCTCCCTCCTCATCTTCCTCATCCTCCTCTTCCTCATCTTCATCCTCATCCCGTCCCATTCTTCTCCTCATTCTCCTCATCCTCATCTTCATCCCATCTTCCTCCTCCTTATCCTCCCCTTCTTCATCTTCATCCTCATCATCTTCATCCTCATTCCCCCCATCCTCCATCCTCTACCTCATCCTCCTCTTCATCCTCACCCCATCCTCATCTTCCTCCTCCTCAACCTCCCCTTCTTCATCTTCTTTCTCTTCCTCCTCATCCTCCTCATCATCTTCATCCTCATTCCCCTCTTCCTCTACCTCATCCTCTTCATCCTCACCTTCCTCCTCCTCACCTTCCTCCTCCTCCTCCTCCCCAGAAGCTGCTGGAGGCTCACGAGGAGCAGAACGTGGACGCCTTCACCGACGCCGTACGTGCCGAAAACCTCCCAAAATCACCCCAAAATCACCCCAAAAATCACCCCAAAATCACCCCAAATTCACCCCAAAAATCACCCCAAAATCACCCCACCTCAAAAAACACCCCGAAAATACATTAAAAACACCCCAAAAATGCCCTGAAAATACATTAAAAACACCCCAAAAATACCCAAAAATATATTAAAACCACCCCAAAAACACCCCGAAAATATATTAAAAACACCCCAAAAAATGCCCCGAAAACACCCTGAAAATACATTAAAAACACCGCAAAAATACCCAAAAAATATATTAAAAACACCCCGAAAATATATTAAAAACACCCCAAAAAACGCCCCAAAAATATATTAAAAACACCCCAAAAACGCCCCGAAAATATATTAAAAACACCCTCAAAATGCCCCAAAAATACATTAAAAACACCTCAAAAAAACACCCTAAAAAACACCCCAAAAATATAATAAAATCACCTCAAAAAACACCCCGAAAATACATTAAAAACACCCCAAAAATGCCCTGAAAATACATTAAAAACACCCCAAAAATACCCAAAAATATATTAAAACCACCCCAAAAACACCCCGAAAATATATTAAAAACACCCCAAAAAATGCCCCGAAAACACCCTGAAAATACATTAAAAACACCGCAAAAATACCCAAAAAATATATTAAAAACACCCCGAAAATATATTAAAAACACCCCAAAAAACGCCCCAAAAATATATTAAAAACACCCCAAAAACGCCCCGAAAATATATTAAAAACACCCTCAAAATGCCCCAAAAATACATTAAAAACACCTCAAAAAAACACCCTAAAAAACACCCCAAAAATATAATAAAATCACCTCAAAAAACACCCCGAAAATACATTAAAAACACCCCAAAAATGCCCTGAAAATACATTAAAAACACCCCAAAAATACCCAAAAATATATTAAAACCACCCCAAAAACACCCCGAAAATATATTAAAAACACCCCAAAAAATGCCCCGAAAACACCCTGAAAATACATTAAAAACACCGCAAAAATACCCAAAAAATATATTAAAAACACCCCGAAAATATATTAAAAACACCCCAAAAAACGCCCCAAAAATATATTAAAAACACCCCAAAAACGCCCCGAAAATATATTAAAAACACCCTCAAAATGCCCCAAAAATACATTAAAAACACCTCAAAAAAACACCCTAAAAAACACCCCAAAAATATAATAAAATCACCTCAAAAAACACCCCGAAAATACATTAAAAACACCCCAAAAATGCCCTGAAAATACATTAAAAACACCCCAAAAATACCCAAAAATATATTAAAACCACCCCAAAAACACCCCGAAAATATATTAAAAACACCCCAAAAAATGCCCCGAAAACACCCTGAAAATACATTAAAAACACCGCAAAAATACCCAAAAAATATATTAAAAACACCCCGAAAATATATTAAAAACACCCCAAAAAACGCCCCAAAAATATATTAAAAACACCCCAAAAACGCCCCGAAAATATATTAAAAACACCCTCAAAATGCCCCAAAAATACATTAAAAACACCTCAAAAAAACACCCTAAAAAACACCCCAAAAATATAATAAAATCACCTCAAAAAACACCCCGAAAATACATTAAAAACACCCCAAAAATGCCCTGAAAATACATTAAAAACACCCCAAAAATACCCAAAAATATATTAAAACCACCCCAAAAACACCCCGAAAATATATTAAAAACACCCCAAAAAATGCCCCGAAAACACCCTGAAAATACATTAAAAACACCGCAAAAATACCCAAAAAATATATTAAAAACACCCCGAAAATATATTAAAAACACCCCAAAAAACGCCCCAAAAATATATTAAAAACACCCCAAAAACGCCCCGAAAATATATTAAAAACACCCTCAAAATGCCCCAAAAATACATTAAAAACACCTCAAAAAAACACCCTAAAAAACACCCCAAAAATATAATAAAATCACCTCAAAAAACACCCCGAAAATACATTAAAAACACCCCAAAAATGCCCTGAAAATACATTAAAAACACCCCAAAAATACCCAAAAATATATTAAAACCACCCCAAAAACACCCCGAAAATATATTAAAAACACCCCAAAAAATGCCCCGAAAACACCCTGAAAATACATTAAAAACACCGCAAAAATACCCAAAAAATATATTAAAAACACCCCGAAAATATATTAAAAACACCCCAAAAAACGCCCCAAAAATATATTAAAAACACCCCAAAAACGCCCCGAAAATATATTAAAAACACCCTCAAAATGCCCCAAAAATACATTAAAAACACCTCAAAAAAACACCCTAAAAAACACCCCAAAAATATAATAAAATCACCTCAAAAAACACCCCGAAAATACATTAAAAACACCCCAAAAATGCCCTGAAAATACATTAAAAACACCCCAAAAATACCCAAAAATATATTAAAACCACCCCAAAAACACCCCGAAAATATATTAAAAACACCCCAAAAAATGCCCCGAAAACACCCTGAAAATACATTAAAAACACCGCAAAAATACCCAAAAAATATATTAAAAACACCCCGAAAATATATTAAAAACACCCCAAAAAACGCCCCAAAAATATATTAAAAACACCCCAAAAACGCCCCGAAAATATATTAAAAACACCCTCAAAATGCCCCAAAAATACATTAAAAACACCTCAAAAAAACACCCTAAAAAACACCCCAAAAATATAATAAAATCACCTCAAAAAACACCCCGAAAATACATTAAAAACACCCCAAAAATGCCCTGAAAATACATTAAAAACACCCCAAAAATACCCAAAAATATATTAAAACCACCCCAAAAACACCCCGAAAATATATTAAAAACACCCCAAAAAATGCCCCGAAAACACCCTGAAAATACATTAAAAACACCGCAAAAATACCCAAAAAATATATTAAAAACACCCCGAAAATATATTAAAAACACCCCAAAAAACGCCCCAAAAATATATTAAAAACACCCCAAAAACGCCCCGAAAATATATTAAAAACACCCTCAAAATGCCCCAAAAATACATTAAAAACACCTCAAAAAAACACCCTAAAAAACACCCCAAAAATATAATAAAATCACCTCAAAAAACACCCCGAAAATACATTAAAAACACCCCAAAAATGCCCTGAAAATACATTAAAAACACCCCAAAAATACCCAAAAATATATTAAAACCACCCCAAAAACACCCCGAAAATATATTAAAAACACCCCAAAAAATGCCCCGAAAACACCCTGAAAATACATTTAAAACACCCCAAAAATACCCAAAAAATATATTAAAAACACCCCGAAAATACATTAAAAACACCCCAAAAAACGCCCCAAAAATACATTAAAAACACCCCAAAAACGCCCCGAAAATACATTAAAAACACCCCAAAAATATCCTAAAAATATATTAAAAACACCCCAAAAAACACCCCAAAAACGCCTCGAAAATACATTAAAAACACCTCCAAAAAATCCCTAGGAATGTGTTAAAAACACCCAAAAAATGCCCCAATAAACCCCAAAAAAAGGGTCAAAAATACCCAAAAGACACCCCAAAAATATGTTAAAAGCACCCCAAAAATACGTTAAAAACAGCCCCAAAAATACCCCAATAAACCCCCAAAAATATGCTAAAAACACCACAAAAATAATTTTAAAACCCCCAAAAATATGTTAAAAAAACCTCTCAAAAATATGTTAAAAACACCCCAAAAATGTTTAAAATGCCCCCAAAAATATGCTAAAAAACTCCCACAAATATTGCCTTAAAAACGCCCCGAAAGACCCACAAAAATACCACAAAATCCCCAAAAAAACAGCCAAAAAATAAAAAAAATCCCCCCCGAAAAAACCCAAAAAAATCCCTAAAAAAACCCAAAAAATTCCACCAAAAAACCCAAAAAATTCCACCAAAAACCCCAAAAAAATTGCAAAAATCCCCCCCCAAAAAAATCCCAAAATACATAAAAATACCACCAAAAAACCCCCAAAAAATTTCATAAAAATCCCAAAAAAAAAACCCCCAAAAAAATCCCAAAAAAACCCCAAAAATTCCTTTAAAAAATCCCCCCAAAAATCCCGGCCTCCCCTCCCCCCTTCTGGAACATTCCTGGCCCCGCCCCTTCACAGTGGGACCCCAATTAAATATTCATGGCTTTGGGATTGGGGGCGTGGCCTCGTTTGGGGGCGTGGCCTGAGGGTTTTGTCCATGCTCCTTGTACATTGGGGGTGTGGCCTGTTTTGGGGGCGTGGCCTGAGGGTTTTGCAATTCCCTGTATTTTGGGGGCGTGGCCTCTTTTCTGAGGGGCGTGTACTTTGGGGGCGTGGCTTCATTTTGGGCGGGGCTTTCCTAGGTGGGCACGAGGGGGGAGGGGCTGCCCCATTTCTCCCCAAAATCTCCCCAAAATTCCCTAAATTTCAGTTTTTACCTCAAAATTCCATCTTTGACCCCAAAATTTCCCTTTTTACCTCAAAATTTCTTTTTTAACCCCAAAATTTCCCTTTTTTACCCCAAAATTCCTCATGTAACCAGAACATTTCCCTTTTTACCTCAAAATTTCTTCGTTTTTCCCTCAAATTTCCTCCTTTGGCCCCAAAATTCCCCCCGGACCCCCCAAAAAATCCCTTCCTCCCCTTTGGCCACGCCCCCGCACAAACCACGCCCTCTAAGCGCTCCATTGCCTTATATGGCTTTTAGCCACGCCCACAACAGGCGGAGCTTTCCTCAAGCTCCTCCCGCGCCGCTAAACCCCTCCCGTCGCCGCTGGCTGACGTCACCACCGCGCGACGCGCTGCGCGCAAGGCCCCGGCGCGGCGCTGCCGGTGGGGCTGCCCGCGGCGCTGCCT